TCGGGTGTTACACTTCTCATAGTGTTTTCTTAACAAAAATCCTTTTTTTTTCCCGAGCGACATCCTTTAGAGTATATTAATATCATCGATAACATGGTATAGACTTGAGATTATGATGAAAATGATAGTAGGAATAGGAGAAGAAACAAATTTTCTTTTATCGTTTTCTTTTATATATATAATTTTGTAATATTTTAATTAAGAATAATGTAATGAATATTTTGCCCTTTTTAATTTTGCTAGTCAAATGGCCTAACTAATGGAAAATTGGATGAAAATCATCCATTTGGGGACCTTGCTATAAATTAAAGCCTTTACTTTTAGGGGACCCTTGACAAATAATCACAATATTAATTAATCTAATGGTTTAAATTTATTTTATTAAAACTTTTTAAAATTCAAAGGATGTTAAAATTCTATATGGATTTGTAGCATTTTAGGTATACACAAGACCTTCTTCTTCTTCCTCCATTTTTTTTTTATCTCCCTGGTGAAACTGGTAGCCACCGGTCTGAAAGAGTCACTCCTAGTTCATGCCCTCCTTTTAAGGAAATTTCTCAAATTTCAAAATATTTCTTCGATTTTTCCTTCTCAATATATTTTTCTGGATTTTTACTCTATTTCCCTTCGCAATCTGACACGAAATGGATTGAACTCATTTGGATTAAACATCTTGTTTGGGGGTGACGAGTGAATCGAGTCCTTTGTGGGGTCGGTTTGTCTTGCTTTGGTCCATGAGCGACTCGGACTCATTTTGATACAAGCCAAAGGTGGTTGAGCTGGGTACCATTTCATTTTCACGAGCAAAAATATTCGTCTCCATTTGCCAAATTTATAAATGGTTTATAAATAAAAATAGTAATCAGTCACACAAATGTGTAGATAACAACGAATAATAGTTATAAATGTGTGGTTGAAATTACTCCATCTGTCCCAATTATATAGGCTGATGCAAGAAGCCATGCAAGTAATTTTAAGGGTCGCACTTACTGGAAGTGGAGAAAATGGAAGATTTGAGCTTGGTCAAATTGGTTTCTAGTTGTTAATTTGTTGCATAATGCAACTTTGTTGAATTTGACATCATGGATGACAGATGAAGGTGTGACAATAAATAATTGCTATAAAAAATGTCTTTTAGAAAAAAAAATAAAATTGGCCAATGACAGAATGTCACGTGCCATTCTATTCTGTCCGATAACGTAGCAAGGTTGTAATTTGTTTTAGTTTGTTTGTGGGTGAGTCCAAGTAGTTGAGTTGTCTTTTATTCTTTTTCCTATTCTAGCATTATTCTTATTGTTATCACTTGAAGGCTATAAATAGCCTCAACGTATTGAATAAATGGCATGAATTATTTGCCAAAGTAACGTCTTCCTCCCTTCCTCCTCCTTCCAATCTTTTTCTTCTCCTTAATTCAAATTAATTCGTATCACTTTATCCTCATAACTTGACAGTATATTATCTCCTGGCCATTTAACAAGCAAGAAGAGAGGGATTTCGTTTTATTCTATTCACTTGCCGTTGTAGCCATCTTTGTATTGTTGTATTTCCTCCTTTCTAATTACAAATCAAAAGAGAATAACCTAAAGCTTCCCCGTGGCAAATTCGGATGGCCAGTAATTGGTGAAACTATTGATTTCTACTTGTCCAACAAAAGGGGCCATCCAGAGAAATACGTAGTTGATAGAATGAAAAATTTGTACGTTGAAATATTCCACACGTTGCCAGCAGCTCATCCACACGATTCAA